GACTGTAGGGGCTTCTTTTGAGCTTGAGATTGATCGATAAATCAATGTAAACCTGCTTCCTGGGGTTCATAGTTAACTGTTTCATAATGAAGCCAGCAGTTAGTGTTCAAGCATGGGATAAATCCAGGAGTCTAAATGGTAATTTTGACAGAGAATTAGACCAAAGAATGTTTCTGCATGTGATTATACTTATTTCAACTTTAACTGTAAACTTTGATAGACAGGTAGAAATGAAAGATTTAGATAGTGAAGACGACATGACAAATCGGACCATTTTTATTAAAGACGCATTTCGCCGTAGAAGCTTATACTCTCTTTGGATTCCTCAGTTTTGAATATATAGATATGTAGATAAAGGTATATTAAGATAATATGAATGGATTGAGACATATATTAAATAGCTGAGATAAATATGTAACAGACGATAGATATTAAAAGGCTAAGTTAATATGTAACAGATGATAAATATTAAGATCAATATGCAACAGACGATAAATATTTAGAGGCTAAGTTAAATATGTAATAGATGATAGATAGATATTAAAAGGCTAAATTAAATATGTAACAGATAGAGATAGATATTAAAAGCTAATAGCTGTGTGTGTTTGAAAACTATATAACTTTTATATAACAGGGAAAACTATTATGACAATGTGAAAGAAAAATCTTATTGAGTGATACGTTTTGTTCTTTAGGACTAATGTGATGTTTGCGTTGATGCGGCAACACATACTCACAAAGGAAAGCGGAAGCTGATAATTTTAAATTTATTTATTTAAAAAATTATTTTTGATATATTGTCTAATCGATTTAATTTACATTCTTTTTATTCTTTATCCTGCCATCACTTTCTTTTTTTTAAATATCACGTATTGTGATAATAGAAAACTGCCAAGAATGAAAGAAACGTCGTTGCAAGAAACTGGTCGTATATTTACTGTGGATGATCTATTGATTAGATAGTAGACAAATATTTAAATATCTGGGAATATTTTTTAATCGAGGGCGGATAATCTGAAGACGAAATCCGAAAACGAATTGAAACAGCGAAAGTTGCCTTTCAGAAGCAAAACAGAGTATCAAGATTCGGGGGAAATTTCGTTAGAAACAAAGAAAAGTGTACCGAATTCAGATGTAATATAGTTCCACCTGTATGACAATGAATTCTGGACAATCTGCTACCGAATAAAAAAAAAGGGTCAAGAAGCATCAGAAATATGCTGAGTATACCATCGACTGAACCTGTCAGTAACGAGGAATTTTTAAGGAAACAGAAAAAGCATTCATCAGAAAGAGAGAATTGAACCTCGGGTATATCATAAGGTAAGTGCGACTGGAGAATTTGACATCCGCGAAACATATTGAAGACCAGAGAGTAGGGAAACAACAAGAAAATTACTAAAGAGCATGTGTAAATGTATTGCAGTTGCAGGGATTGGGAGTGATGACGAAAAATACCATACTAAGTGCTACGAAGGATAGGAAATAGTGGAAAGTTAAGGTCGCCTAAATAGGAATCGGTGAATACATGTACACAAAAGTGACTGGCATATATATATATATATATATATATATATATATATATATATATATATATATATATATGGCAAGCCATGTTCACTATCATCTCAATTCAACAGACATTCATATATATATATATATGTGTGTGTGTGATTTGGTCATATAGACAAAAACAATTTACACACTACAAAGATGCAACCTTGTTTCGGTGCATTTAGTTGAACCTCGACTGGTGAGCCTCTCAGTATTGAGCCCTCTTTTGAATTAATGCTGTGAACGTAAAAAATTATATATTATTTTCCTTCTCACTATATTCGGAGATTATTATATATATATATATATATATATATATATATATATATATATATTAGAATTAATGGATCTTTAGACAAAATTGGCCACGAACTGTTTCGCCGATCAGGCAAAGCTGAATAACGCCTTTAAGCGCAAATTTCTTCGGAGATTCTCGAAGTATTCATATTTGCTCCAGTTTCGTATCTTAACGTAAACAAGGCAAATGAAGTATTGGACTTTTTTTTATTTATTAATCCAATAGGTTCTATCAATTAAACTTTAGTTTTAGTGGATACCCATATTTCAGTAGACACCCCGTTTATTCATTTTCGTCTACGGCATCTTTTACTTAAATAATTTTTTTTTTTATTATCCAGGCCGGTAGATGAACATAAATAAATATTGTTTAATAAATAAACGGAGTCTCTACTCACATATGTGTATCCACTAAAAATACAGATTAAATGATTATATATATATATATATATATATATACTACAGATCAGAGGTTTGAGGAAACCACTCGTAATTTTTTAAAAATTACCCCAAATGTTTTTTTTTCTTTTTTAAATAAGAGAAAAGTATTGTGGATGGTTAAAAAATTGAGAAATACCATTTTTATTAGAAATTGAATTATGGGAAAACAAAATTTTGCGCTTATTAAAATATTCTCTTTTAGCCTTGAATACTGGAGTATAAATTTTAAAATTAATTGCAAAAGTTTCTCAAAGTATATGTTTAAGAATTGTTTCCATTTTTTTTTTCAAATAAGAGCGCTTTTCCTTTTTTTCCACTTGTCTGTCAAGTTCATCCCATGCTTATACTGGGGATGGCTTCAAACTTTTGAACTGTAATGTGTGTGTGTATGTAATTATATATATATATATATATATAAGGAAATATATCTCTGTGTATTGACTATTTTCATAATTTGTCCATTGTTGATATTATTTTAAATTGTTTTTGTGTGGACACAATAAGCAGAATAAACAATACACAATACACAATTTAGCACAACGCTTAAATCCTATACAAAATGATTTTTAATTTACGTATATCGAAATCGACCTTTGAGTTCGGAAGAAAAACAATAAACAATTATCTTAGCACCAAGAAATTGTTTAAGAAACAAAATTTGCAAAACTCTTCGGGCCAAAGACGGGTAAAGAACGACAATTCGGTTTTCCTGTTTTGTTTATTCGAAATTACAAAAGCACAAACAATGAATATTATTTTTCATTTCTTTACAAATATCTGTTTTATTTTACTTTGGATATTTTCTGCCAAAGATGGTTACAGTTTTTAGAGTTTTTCTTTTGCTCTTTATCCTGATATATTCTGAAGAGATAAGGTGGTTATACAAGAAAGCGAAGCAAGGATGTGACGCTGGGTGACAAATATACGAAGCCCGGTATTTGTAATGGAATCAATGCTAACCTGGTATCTCGACTCGGGTCATTTTCTCACCGTCGGGACGCCGATTCCCCTACCTCCATTTTTCTACAAATTCTGCATGAATTTACATTGTCAAAAATGTCTCATCATTTTACTGTTGATCTCTCGCTAAATGCAATTGTCTGTTCTATTGAAATAGTTTCGTTTCACGCACTTCTCGCCTGTGGGATTCCGTTCCGATTTTTTGCCTTCCTACAACCTACAATCTTCAAAAATTTAAATACAACGTCAATTGCCATCTTCTGTCCTCCTGAATACTGTTTCTTTAATGTCACTTTCCTAACTTCTGAATAAGATTTTCTCATTTCCTTTCACTCCTTGTAATACCCTAGTTGCATTATCGCATTTCTTGGTGTGAAATGATTTTAAAAAAAGAAAGAAAATATCATGCCACCCAGTCTAAGCGACACTCTTTTCAATAATAATAATCAATACCATAATACTACTACCAATGATGATGATAATGACATATTACTATTACTCTAATAATAATGACATTTACTAGTAGTAATGATAATAATGTTATTTTACTACTACTACTACCATTTTACTACAACTAATAATAATGAAATTTCACTACTACTGCTAATAATGTTATTTTACTACTACTACTACCATTTTACTACAACTAATAATAATGAAATTTCACTACTACTGCTAATAATGTTATTTTACTACTACTACTACCATTTCACTACTACTGCTAATAATGTTATTTTACTACTACTACCATTTTACTACAATAATAATGAAATTTCACTACTACTGCTAATGATGATAATGACATTTTACTTCTACTACTAATAACAATCACATTTTACTATTAGTACTACTAATAATGACATTTGTAGTACTACTACTACTAATAATAATGATATTAGTACTACTATTACTACTACTAATAATAATGACAGTACTACTACTAATAATAATGACATTAGTACTACTACTAATAATAATAATGACATTAGTACTACTACTACTACTAATAATAATAATAATGACATTAGTACTACTACTACTAATAATAATAATGAAATTAGTACTACTACTAATATCTGTCTATATTTCTGGGATTGTCTTTTTCAGTTTCTTCTGTTCACCAACACTGCCTCAGAAAAATGGCAAATTTGAACAATGTAAATAGTATAAAATATTAATAAGAGTTGACATTCTACAAGATTGCACTAAGTAGTAGAATCTATACTAATAATAATGCCAGCTCAGCCGATTTTGTCGTGGTGGTGATGGGAGTGACGTTTTGTGTCAGATGGGGGTTGCGGGACATTTGAACTTAAATTCTGGAAATAAGTTTTGATTTTAGTGCATTAAAACGTTTGCCCTTGTGTCACATTCTGTCAGCGTGTAGCTGAGATCAAAATTTGGTATCTGTTCTGGTCACAATAATCTGATTCTTGTTTTCTTTTGTTTTTTTTTTCTTTTTTTTTTTTCTTTCTATGCCTCACCGAAACCACGTCATGTCTTTTGGCTTCTTTACACGCGACCTAAAACGGAATAGTCCATTATTTATACGGTATTGCCAGGGCACAGCAGGAAAAACGAACTAACGACAAGCGGAACAAACACAGTTATAATTTATCATTCGTTATCAATTTTCTATTTATTTTTTAAAAACAATATCGCAGCATCATTTTTCCGTGGCAATTCGTATATATAAAGAAACCAAATGGAGTTTCTGTTAGTGGGTTTATTAAAAATAAAATTCTTCGATGTTGCTAGTCTTAATTTTAAATAAATACCCTTCTATCCATCTCTCTCTCTCTCTCTCTCTCTCTCTCTCTCTCTCAATAGCTATTTTCACTCTATCTGTCTCTTTATATCTCCCTTTCTTATCCTTTCTCTCTCTCTTTTTCTCAGTATATATGTCAGGGATTAAATTTTATGAACATTCTTACTTGCAAACTCCATGTATCTCTCAAAAAATGCTCTTAGATAAATAACTAGTATTTTTGAGAGACGAAAATATCAGGCGCATATATACATTATATCTGTTATTATGGAAGATCAGAACATTGCTAATTATTCTTCATCTTCTTTTCGAACTACAACTACCACTTCTTCTGTCTCTTCGTTTTTATTTCGATTTGCTCCTCTTCTCCTCCACCCTCTCCTCTCTTGTTGTTGTTGTTGTTGTTGTTTTTTTTCTTCTTCTTCTTCTTCTTCGTTTGAACTTCTTTTTCTTCTCATCCTCCTCCCTCTTCTTCGTTAGGGACTTCTTCTTCTTCTTCTTCTTCTTCTTCTTCTTCTTTCGAAGTTCTCATCTTCCTCCCTCTATCTTCTTTTCGAACTTTCCTTCTCCTCCTTCGTCGTCTGATCCTCCTCCTCCTTTTCCTTTTTTGGTCGTCTTCTCCTTCTCCTCTGCTTTCATTTTCTTTTCGAACTTCATCCACTTCTCATCTTCCTTCTTCTACTTCTTTTCGTATTCTCCCCCCACCTCCTACTTCTTATTTTCGAACTTCTTTTCATCATCCACCTTCTTCTTCTTCTTCTTCTTCTTCTTCTTCTTCTTCTTCTTCTTCTTCTTCTTCATTTCTGAATTTCTTCTTCTTTCCGAACTTCTTTTTCGAACTTCTTCTCATTTTCCTTCTCTTCGTTTTGAACATCTTCTTCAACTCTTCTCCCCAATTCTTCTTAATAATAATAATAATAAAAAAAAATCTTTCTGTTCACGAAAAAGCAAATTACAGCGACCGTTGCGTTTTGTCTGCAAAAAAAAAAGTATAAAAATGTTTAAAGAGACCGACTTAGTGCAAGAGTTGGCTCATAAAAACAATGGCATTAAATACCTCTCCATAAAATTTACCAACGTCTGATTTCGCATATCTCCATGTAAATCTATTCATGTATTCAGTCTATTAAATTTGTAAGTGCTGCACCAGATAGGAAGGTGAGCGATGTACATTTAGTTTTCTATTTTTCTCTTTGCTTTGAAAAAAAAAAAAAATGGAAGGTTCGGTTTTGTTGCTGAAACATTTGATTTTTGTGCGTGTACTTTTTCTTTTTTTTTTTTTTCTTTTTTTGACTTTGTGTTTTAAAGAAGGCATCGTAGCAATGTAAAATTAAAAATCAATACAGGAAAGAAATAAAAAATATTCATAGTATACAAATATGCTCAAATACATTGTAAAAAACCTGTTTGTACTTATAAAACGCATACCAAGTCTCAAAAGTGGAAGAAGAAAAAAAAAATAAATAGCTTATCTTATTTCGTAACATAGCAACATAGTAAGTAAGCAAATTATGGTAAGTGGCTGCGTCAGTAATTCCATGGACAGGCATAAAATTAAATTAGGTTAAATAAGAGAGAACTCAAAAGCTTTAGAACATTATGCAGCTGAATATGGCTCTCCACAGCTTCCCCTTCTTTATTATCAATGGATAGCGATAACTTCTTGGAAAATAAAAATCGAATTGTTTCCCGTTGCTTTCTCTGTAATTTTGAATAGTCTTCCACTTAGACATGATGCCAAGCAAGGCTAGAAGGATCATTCTACCTTTCTACTTTTCAAATTCATCGTGAATTCCATTGTAACATGTCAGACTGAATTTTGATTGATTTATTTGTATTTTATGGTTTATCAATTTTGGCGTGTTTAAAGAATGAAAATATTTATTAGATTGTGGGAATTATTCTGGGGATAATAATGATTTTAACTGATACTGTTTGAATTAATTACCGCATAGCTGGGGAGAATAGATGGATTTCTACTTTTCCCCAGGGTATTTGCGCATAAGAATATTACGAACCTAGGTGAATTTAGAAATACGCGCTCCGATTAACAATTCGAGCCATAATCAATTACACCACTCTCAGACCCAAGCTCACAGCACTTGATATTACCATGCGGTCACTCGTCTAGTTACTGACGATATTCGATTTTGCTTACCTTTTGCTAATCGTACGGAAACTGGTGTTGCAATCTGATGTGGCTATAAAGGAATAAATTAGACAGAGAACTCAAAACAAATTAAATGGCCTACAGTTGAATGTGGGTCTAAACAACGTCCGATTTATTATTCGTCTGTAGCCATGATTTCTTGGAAGATATAACCGCTTCCTTCTCCGGAATACTGAATTTAAAGTCATCGTTCTCGTACACTAGGTGGGCAACCAAGGCGAGAGAGTCTACATTTCTACTAATTCATATAACTTTCATAGATCTATTTCATTTATATCTGGAACATTACACAGACTTATATATATATATATATATATATATATATATATATATATATATATATATATATATATATATATATATGTGTGTGTGTGTATACATATAATTGGATATGTATTGGTACCAAAAGTGGTTTTTTTTTTTTTTTTTTTTCAAAAAATATGGTATATTTTTAAATTTTTTTTTACTATATTTTATATATTTATTTTATTATTTTTTTTATTTTT